GGAATGCGAAGATGGCTGCAGACCTAGGCGAGCTGCTGGTCCCGTACATGCCCACCATCAGAGTGCCCAGAAGCGGAGACAGGGTTTTCAAGAGCGAGTGTGCCTTTTCTTTCGACTCTCCCGTAAGTGTTTCTCATACACCTTCACACCCACCGAGACGTCAGCGGGTTGTTTGGATAAAACGCACTGACAGCCTGCTTTGGCTTAACGACACACGCGAATCTCCTGTAGTGTGCGTGTGTGTCTCCATGACCATCTTCCCCGCCAGTTTGAAACGAAATAAGTAAATGGTGTTTACATGTCAGGAGAGCGGGATGGAGGGGCTTCCCTTTGTGCGGGGAGCTCCGTCCAGGCCACACTTCCCGTTTCAGCCGAGCCAATTAAACCATTAAACAGACGCGCGAACGCACCTGCTCGAGCTTTGAGTCGACTTAGAAAGCTTTAGCGGCCACTTGATGGTGTTTACATAGTCTGAACTGCCTCTAAAACGGAGCTTAATAGGCCCCAAATGTCAGTGGCACTTGGCTGAAGGTTTGTAATTGTAATCGTAGTCTAATATTTCCACCTTTATGTGCCCTAAACAGCGAACTGTTACTTATTTCTTTATCTTAATTGTGGTGTTTAGCCGTTAGTCATCAATATATGGCTTGAACAGTTCAAATTCACTGCTGTCTTCATCTGTGACCTATCAGAAATTCACTGTATGTGGTTGTATTGTAGCCCAATGCAAGTATTTTTTGTATAAATACAAGTGTTTTTATAGAATGTTTTGCGTTATTGGTTAGAGGTTTGAGTTTAGTTATAGAAAATGGCTTGACCCATTTTGACCCCCTTTCCTCTATTTCTCATTCTTTATTCTTTTAGGGCAAGGGAGACAAGGTGTCAAAACACCAGGCAGAGCTCAGCCTTTTTTGTAGTGGAATATTTGTGACAGATATGAATTATGAGGTTTTTCTGAGTGGTTAAAGTCAGTGAAAACCTGCTTTCTTGATGTAAACCGTTTTAAAGGTGACTCAGCTGTCTGGAGTTCATCATGTTGGCCCTAGGACTGGTTTATTTTTATCCTTGCGCTCTTCAAGCTCATATGTCACTCTGGCCCACTTAAAGGTTTATCACTGGGGCTTATAGGGCCTACACTGATTGCAGATTACGGTTAATTTTGAAGGGGTTTTCTTGATGTGTTTTGTCTCTGACAGTCCATGTGTGAAGCAGGAAGGTTTCTATGTCAGAAAAAATAAAATCTCTTGTTATCCTGCATTTTAAGGCCCCTTAAATGTGAGCTGCCTGTCTCGTGATTTGCTGCTGACCTTTTAAATATGACAGCATGTTTCATTTACAGTGAGTGAACCTAGTATGTGACATGAGTGGACAGTAATTTTATGAGCTTGTGTTTTTAAACTGGAACCTTCAGGTCCTCAGTGCCCCAAAAGCAAAGATACTGTATTTGTCAGTGGCTGCCTGTGTTTTTTAGTTAAAACAGCACCAGAAGAAATGATATTTATAGAGTAAAAAAATCAGAAAATGGTACATTTTTTAACATTCTTTGGTTTAAAATGATATTTAAAAGGTAACCATTTGATTATGTGGACTTATTCCAGAATCAAGAATCTTTGGTAGCAGGCATGTTGTGCAAGAGCATGTTGTGCTGGAGCTGATTATTGGCTGTATGATGATGCAAGGAAGAGCAAGAACACCTTTTAAAAAATGTTCTTTTAGTATCACTAACACTCTCATTTGCATTTCCACTACTCATGTAGTGTTTACATTTTTGTAACTGGCAGTGTGGCCATGACACACTACGTTTGTTGAGACATAAATAGAGCTCTAGTGCTCCATGTTTACTGGAATGATTATTTTGTCACTGTTTGCTCTGTGAGCTACTTGTTTGTGGATATATACACACTAAGCTAACCATGCCTCCTAGCTACTCCGGAAGTTATGTAATTAAGCAAACTAAAGAGAGAAGATGTCAATTGTAAGACCTGGGACACGCTCGAATAAATATTCTGTGTAATTGTTGGTGTTTTCAGTGTGTTAAGTGCTGTGTTTTTTGCTGCGAGCCGCTCTTCATTGTTGCTATTTGTTTTGGGTCTGCAGGAGTCTGAGGGAGGACTGTATGTGTGTATGAACACATTCCTGGGCTTTGGACGAGAACATGTAGAGAGACATTATCGCAAAACAGGACAGAGTGTTTACATGCACCTCAAACGACATGTCAAAGAGGTAGGTTTCACACACGCCCTGAAGGTTTACTGGGTACTGGTGTTTAATGGGGTCTTGCAACAGTATTTGCAACAGTGGTACTAAGGGTACTATGTAATCAAAAATCATTTGATTACATAGTACTTTTTACTTATAAAAGCCCATGCAATCAACAGAGCAGAGAAACACCAGTGTGTTTCAGTCATGATACAGAGTTTTATCACTTTCATGCAGATGCATTCAAATGATGTGAAAAAAAACGATATAGTTTGTTTTATACTGAAAATGTGAAAAAGCAGCAAAGTGGAATTGGAAAAATCCACAACACTTTAACCACTTATTCACTATATATGTATAAACTGTATAAACATGTACTAACTGATTTATAATGTAGTTGGAAGCAGACGTGTCTTAATGTTTTTGTCAACAACAGTAACTCACCTGTGAGCACCCATAGGTGAAGGCAGGTGTATGAATAACTAATTATGGATAATATAGTATAAAATAACATGACTGTAAAAATATAAAATATGCTCTCATAGCATAGGTGTTTAAATAAATACTTAATTTAAAATATGTCCTTATGTCTGCCTGAAACTATACTATAGTGTTAACCATTATTAAATATTTGTGTGCTGATTATCGGGGGTAAATAGTGGGTTTACAGTAAACTCACTAAGCTGCTGCAGTACTGTAAATTGTTTTAGGTACAAAAGTACACCGAGTGACCTGAACTCCTCATATCGTGATGTCATTGTTCTGAACATCAGTGACCGAGTTGCACTGTGTGACCAGCCTGTTACGGAGCTTGAATGCTTGATAATCAATATCTCATATTAAAAAAGAGGAAAACAAACATTGTTTTGGCCTTTTCACTGGACTGTTTTGGCCTTGAGCCTGAGACCTGTCTGTGACTAGCACTTGATATGTTTTCAGCTCCGTGCATGTGCACTCCTCCTATCACAGCTCTAACCTTTCCCACACTTCTGTTTGTGGCCACAGTATTTTGGTAACATTTTGTTTTATGGATTCAGCATCTCCTAATTATTTTTCTAAGAAGTTTCCTGGAAATAATAAGGTAATTTGGTATTTATTATTGATTGATTAAATATTTTATTTTGATGATATGCATAACAAGATATAATTACTCACATAGACACAAAAATAGTTCAAAATAAAACAGGAGAAAGAAAACAATCACAGGATTTAATGTTCATATTAGAGTCAAGCCAAGCTTATTATGCCTACCCTGACACTTAACATGTTATGTGATCATTTCATTTAGCTGAGGAGTTGTTTCAAACAAATACCTACAAGTAAATCATTTGTTGATATGCGAGTAAATCCGTCACTGAAGTACCTACGTGCTATAACAATCATTCAGCAGTATATAGACAGTTTGAGCACTTCCTATTATTTAGTTTGAATTAATTTCCAGTGAAACCTCTCTTAGTCTGTGCACAGCAGGTCAGCTGAACATGAAGAAATCTCACATTGTTTATAGACAACATTACAATTCAGGTCATCCTGTTCATAGAAAAACTATCTGCTCACAAAGCAGCAGAAAGGCTCTTCATATGCCAAAAAGGTGCATTTATTACTTATGCAAGAAGTGATACAGTGAAAGATTATGAATAAAAAATGAACGTTTTGGTCAAAAGACCATCGTCAGCACAAGGTACACTCTGAAATTCTGCAAACATCCATACACTGCTGCGATCTTGACAAAGACCAATCAGTACAGTATGTACAGAGAATATAGTTCGTAATAAACAAATACTAAAAAATGAATATTTGGTTTAAATTGAGTGGTTTTTTTTTAGATCATTCCTATTTGCCTATATTTATACCAAAAGTACCAATTTACATAAAAAATGTCTAGAGAAAGAAAATATTCTGAATTTACAGAACCCTGAATTATAGTGTCATGACTTTATTAAAGTTACTTCTGCATGTGAAATCCTCACAGCTAAGTTTAAATTATGCTGAATGCAATGAACAATTAAAGATATTAAGTACCAGCATTTGTTTACATTAGTACATGGGGTGTATTAAAGAACTGGAACATCTTACAGTATAATTCAGTCCAAAACACCAACCCCGCAACACATATTTTTGGAGATTATACATGTTTGTTGTGACTGAGCCATAGAGATGTTGATTCCGCTCAGTGGTAACTCTTAAAGTTTGGTGCTGCAGTGGATTATGATATATTGTACGATATTAGTGATTTTTGTTGTTGTTGTTGTTGATCACTCCGGCTTTCTCCCACAGTCCAGAGCACACATGGGCCCAAACAAACCTGTCATCTTCTAAAAGTTGACAACAAAGACCTTTGCTGCTGCTGTCGTGTCTTCTCACCGGCTCTAATTGCCCTCAGATAAGCTCTGCTTTGTAAAGAGCTGCTATTTCCATGCTTGGATCTGGCCAGAAACAGCTGCTCACATGCTACAGGCTCCTGTGTCTGCTGTTTTTCCCCATGAGCCCACCGGGTTTCGAGTGTGTCAGCATTCTCTTTCTGTCTGCTGCTGTCTTCTTCCCTGCTGAGTGAACAGGAAGCACCCATCTGAACCTGACCGGACTGGAAGGAAACCAGTCTGTGGTACTGGGCTGTTTTGCCACCAGTCAGTGATACTGTACATGTGTGATGTGAATTCACTAGCAAAGTGTTTTTGTTTTTTATTTTATCCATGTAACAAAGATGAAAATGGTTATCTATGAGTCTATTAAAGATTGATCGTTAATCCCGGAAACTATGTAGTGAAGAGAAGAAGTAGTAAGTAAAACATGGTAAGGACAGAGAAAGATGATGAGACACCATCAGGGCAAAGCCAGGCCCAAGTTGACCAATCAGACTGTGGAACATAAGTAGTTCAGTTTATCATTCTTTAATTTTGAAAGCTGTCATGGTGGGGGCTTTCCCCTTGCCCTGTAACCTGACCTGGCAACTGGAACATCCTGCATCTATTTCTAACAGAATGACAACCATCTGCAGGTTCTGTTGAAGCAAAGCATGTAAGCTCTTTTCAACAGTTTACAAAGAGAATTATCCAAGGCGTTAAAAGATGGTTTTAATGTGGCGATGGTTCTCTGATCTAATTTAATCTCTCTTCCTTCCCGTTTCCCCACAGAAAGCCACAGGAGCTGCAGGAGGCGCCATCCCCAGACGAAGAAATGGAAAAGTGTTTCTAGGTAAATGCATTTCTCCATCAGTTGGAAGCAGCGGTGGAAGAGGTAGTCCCATCCTTTACTTAAGAAAAAGTATGTATTCCAAAGTGTAAGAGTACTAATAAAAATCCTACATTCAGTAAAACTACTTCAAGCATCAGAAGTAAAGGTACAGATCTAGCAGAAAAATAGTCACACTGACATTAATATCATTATTATGTTGTTGAACAGTACATTCTTAGATTGTTAATAATGCTGCATCAATGCAGAAGCAGTATTATATTGTAACTGGTTACAGTGGGGCTAGTTTATATACATTTAGGTAGTTCAGTGGTTCCCAAACCTAGGGCTTGGGCTCCTCATAAGATTACAAGATCAATCTGAAGGGTTATGAGATGATTAATGGGGCTGGAAGAAAAAACAAAGTTTTAATGTGTAATTTTTGTTTATCGACTTCTTTCTCTTTTTGGAAAGAAAATATTGGAGAGTTTTACCTCCTCTGACCTTAAACAGTTATTTAAATGAAGCACTTTGGGAAGTTTAGGGGAAATGTGTTTATGATAAAACAGCTAAAATCTCACATCTGTAACATGACAATGAGTCCCACTTAGACACCGCTTTTTAGTCACAAGCCTAAAATGCTGGTAATCAATAGTTTTAGTTTTAATGTTTTATGATTTTTATGTAAAGTCTTTCTTTTTTTTTTAGAAGAAATGAGTAACTATAGCTGTCAGGTAATATATAGTGCAGGAAATGGTACAATATTTCCCTTTGAAATGTTGAGGAGTAAAAGTGGAATTGCTGAAGTTAAATACAGTACATGTTGCTTTCTACCACTGCTGGCAAGCAGGACTAAACCCCTTGTTGCTAAATCACCCCTCTCAGCCACTGCTGTTCTCATTATAACTGAAAACAAAATTGAGCTTGCTGATGACAGAAAAAAGCTGCAGCCCTGGATGCATTTGACAGGTTTTGTTCTGAGTTATAAACGTGATCCCGGTGGTCAGAACCACCTCCAGTACAAGCTAGTGCTATTGTTACACTGTGGTGACCTGCCAGCTGCCTCTCCAGCCTGCCTTTACTCAAAGCGTCAGATATTTCCCGTGATGAGACCTCTTTTTCAATTCCTCCTCCTGTGCTCTAAAAATAGCCCAGTTATTTGTATGTGTGATTGGTAACTAAACCAAAACCTGGCCCTCTCCTCCTCCTCCTTATCAGGGTGGTTGGTTTACAGTGGGGGCCGCCTCCTGTCAGTTGGCGGCCTCTCAGCTGCCACCACCTGTCAACCTCCCATCTAGGCTGACATGCTTCTACTGCAGCTATGACGCTGCTCAGAGAAGACCAGGTGTCTCTCTTCCTCCTTCTCACCTCCCTCCCTCTCTGCTGGAGGAATTCCTTCCATTCAGCCTCTGAGTAACTGATGTAAATGGTAAATGGTCTTATACTTGTATAGCTCAAAGTGCTTTTACACTACTTGGCCATTCACACTCCCAAGTGCTCACACATTCACGCACTGGTGTCATCACTGGGAGCAACTGGGGGTTCAGTGTCCTGCTCAAGGACACTTCGACATGTTGAATGGATAAGCGGAAATCTGGATGGGAATCGAACCGCTAATCCCCCGCTCTACCTCTTGAGCCACATCCGCCCCCAGCTTTTATCCTTTTGTTCGGAATTTATTAGACTTTATTGTTCACTGTGTTTGATCTGACTGTTGGACGTTAGGTCAGTCTTTTCTAGCCAATGTTTGACTCCTCCTTTCTAACATGAATTTCCTAGACCTTTCTTAAGATGTTTTTCATCTGTATGATTGTGTCTGCTGTCCATTTTGGATTTGTGATGTGACAGCTGATGGGATGTGTATGTATGTATCTGCCTGTCGTCCCCATACCAGTCCAATGATCTAATCAGGTCGCTAGCTGCTAACGTCAGACGTTACCATGAAACCAGTGGGTACAATAACATTGTCAGGGATAATCTGTGATGCTGTTTCTTATGAGTCATTACACGACTTTAGGCTGGAGCAGAGGACAGACAACTCTATTTAGAGAGGTAATTTAGAGAAGTTCTTTCTAAATGTCCCACCAGAAATCTTTTTGGGTTTATGTCACACAAGTTTAGTATTATTTTATTCCTAATATTGATATTTTAGTTTTAATATGTGATTAATAATGAAACGAGAAGAGAAGCATGACAGATTCATCATCAGTAATTCCTCATAAACTTTATAAATTGCTGGTGATAAAAGTGTGTGTGGTAAATTCCTAAATGTAGCTCTGTATTTATATATTTAGATATACCAGTCATCTGCATCGTATGACGTCATCCTGTCCTTGTTCTAAGTGCAAAGATGGTGGTTTTCCTGTTCAAGTCTACATCTGCTTGTATTAACTTATGGTATTAATTAAAGGAGCAAACCATCAAAATGAAAAAAGAACAGACCTCATCCTCAAGAGCAGGAACAAACAGAACATAGAACAAATGCAACCAAGAACAAATTCCACCGTGGTGTAATCATGAGGTAACATCAGTCAGCGGTGTCGTGGTCTAACTGCTGACTGTTTGCTTCCTCCCTTGAAGATTTAGAGCTAAATCGTGACTTTAATGGAGAGGACTATGAATATGAAGACGAGGCCAAGCTTGTCATTTTTCCGGACCACTTCGAGATCCCCTTACCAAATATTGAGGAGTTGCCCGCTCTGGTCAGTGAGTTGGTGCTGTTCCTATGCATGTCACAGGGGAAGGTGCACTCAGTGGTTCCCCTTGCACTCCAGTTATTGCGCCATGTTGACTTAGTCTCTGTTGGTGTGTTTAGGTCGATATTAGAGTACCGTATGTAAATGTTTTACATCACGATCAGATTCTGGGATGCTTCCTGTAGAAGCTGTTTTCCCACCTCAAAGGTTTTTTATATGGATAGTTTTGGTGGAGGATTTTAACATTAAAGCTATTTAGTAAGATTTTCCTCCATGTCAAAGCAAAATAAACACACATTGGGGGACAACTGGGCGCACATGTAAGTGCCTGCATGGAGGAGACACTCCTGTTATTTATTTATTTCGTTTGAGAGCTTGGCTTTGGCATGACCACGAGTTTTTTTTTCTTCTTGGTTATTTCATGAATGTAAAATTTAATATTGTGTGTGTGTGTGTGTGTATAGACATTGTGCTACTGCATAATTTTCATACATTATTGGGGAGCACCTGATTTTTAGTTGTTATGCATGATTTATTTTGTTCTGCTGCATCAGTCACTCTGGGGCACAGCTTTGTTTTCTTGCATGCCTACTTTTGTCCTTTACAGTGGGTACGGAAAGTATTCAGCCCCCCTTAAATTTTTCACTCTTTGTTATATTGCAGCCATATGCTAAAATCATTTAAGTTCATTTTTTTCCTCATTAATGTACACACAGAACCCCATATTGACAGAAAAACACTGAATTTTTGACATTTTTGCAGATTTATTAACAAAGAAAAAGTGAAATATCACATGGTCTAGTAGTGTTACTTTATTGCTTTGAGGAACAAGATGAGATATTTTCAGTATGACCTCAACTGCACCCACTTTCTGCAGTTGATAACATCTTTGCCGTCTCCTCTAATGTCCAGGTGACCATTGCCTGTGACGCAGTGCTCAATGCACCATCTGCTTACAAGAAGCAGGAGCCTGAATCCTGGGAGGAGGAGATACAAGTTTCCAAACATGCCAGGAGCCTCAGACAGCTGGATAATGGGGTCCGAATCCCACCAAGGTAGGACAGACATCAAGCCACACTGATAAAGCACTGTATCATCCATACAGCGGGCCTTCACTTTGAATGTAGTACTTTTCGGGAAAAATTGGAATCTGAATGTTTGGAAGTCTTATGTTCTTGAAAATATAGCACTTCTGTCAACTGTCCTATACTATTTTCATGATGAGGATAAACAAATAGCATCTACATTTTTTTCCTAAACTCCTTCTCCACTGTATCCTCAGGATAGTAACAGCAACACACCAACAGGTGACTCACTGGATAGTTACTGACACACTGACTCTGCATAGCCATTCGTATGGCTGAATCAGGTGATATATGGAGGTCTTGGCCTGTGCCCTTTAAATACTGTCCCTAATGTTGGAGACTGTCTGTGGAAGTCCTTTCCTATTTCCACTGATCTGAGATTGATCCCAACAAGCCAAGCACGCTAAACCTCATCACTGGGTCCACATGTGAAACTCTCCCAGACAATCAAGAAAGGGTGATGGAGTTGATCGCTCCATGTAACATACTGTACCTACTACCAGTGTGCTGGCTCTACAAAAACTGAGATAAAATTTAGTCACAATGTGCCAGCTTCTGCTGCTTCAGCTGCTTTATGTGTTTCTTGTGCAGCAAATATGATTATTTATTGAATAGTAAGTCATTGGCTTTCAGCGATAATGTATTATTTACAAATCTTTGCTTTGTCACTTCCATTTGTTCCTTTTCTATGTAGTCTGTTTACAACTACAGACACAATGTAAACCTGGTTAGTTCCACACCTGCTTGAGAGCAAAATGTAATTTTCGTCTTAGCTTGACTCCATGATTACAAACACCACACTAGCACAACACTCTGTTTCTCTGTTGTCAGTGGCTGGAAGTGTCAGAAGTGTGAGATGAGAGAAAACCTGTGGCTGAACCTGACGGATGGAGCGGTGCTCTGTGGGAAGTGGTTCTTTGATGGGAGCGGCGGCAATGGCCACGCGCTGGAGCACTACAGAGAGACCAGCTACCCCCTGGCTGTCAAACTGGACAACATCACCCCAGATGGAGCAGGTCTGAGACGGATAACAGGATTATCTAAAGTGATGCATAAAAACCAGAATCCAGTTTTATTATGCTAGCGATAAGTGTCTTTTAGGTTGTTTTAGACAGAACACTTTGCTAGAATGTCACACCTGAAAACAACATTTTAGGAATGAAATGTCCTAATTTGCCACAGTTTTTTAATCTACTCTTGTGCTAATATTGGATGATGGTTCGCTCATGTTAAACTACTGTATATGTAAATCTCATGTTAATTTGTATAATCTAATGTGCTCCAACATAACAGTCCTATAATGTAATGCTGTCTTTGTGATAACAGTGCTTATTTTTTGTTGACATTGTGTCAGAGAGACATTGATTTAACTGGCCATTGTTAGGGATGGTGTTGTGTTAGATGTTTCTAATGTTCTGCTCTCCTCATGTACTGCATGGAAATACACCAGCACCAGTGTTTTGTTTTGTTTTTTAAATTGTGTTGTACTGGTGTACATGCTCTACTAGTAACTAAGTGTAAATGGAGTCTTCAAGTAGAAATGTACAATCAGTTTTAATGTGACTGAAAATTAGATTTGTGGAGTGTGGTATGGGGAACTTGTTGACCAGAGATTTGTAATTGTAAAATCATTTTGTTAACCTGTTTCTTTAAAAATCAGACCTTGCAATAAGGACTGGTTAATCTTTTTCAGATGTCTATTCATTTGAAGAGGAAGAAGCTGTGTTGGACCCCCACATATCAGAACACTTGGCACACTTTGGAATAGACATGCTACAGATGCAGAAAAGAGTAAGTTGTCTTGACTGTGCAGAACAAATTAGTTTTATCATTCACCTCGTATATTGTAGCACCATCTTGAAAAAAAAACAAACACATGAAGCCCTTTGGCAAAATATATCCACATGTGCCAAGCTAAAACCAAGGGCCGAGACAGTTTTGCCTACAGTGTTCTCCACAGTCAAGTCTTCACACCCAGCTCTTCTTTGTGCCTCTTCAGACAGAGAACGGGCACCACACAGACAATAATGCCCAGCCGCGGGTCAGTGAATGGGAGGTGATCCAGGAATCCGGAATGAAGCTGAAGGCAGTATATGGCTCTGGTTACACAGGCATCAAAAACCTGGGCAACAGCTGCTACCTCAGCGCAGTAATGCAGGTCCTCTTCAGCATCCCAGACTTCCAGAGGATGTGAGTACTGGAGAACAAAAACTAACGAGGTTTTCTTTTTAATTATGGGTACTATTTTGTCATGTTGATTCTTTTGTCTTTTGTCTGAATCTAATCAGTCTGAAACTGCTATTTGATCATCTTCAACATAATATGTGTTTTATGGCTTTTTCTTATCCCAGAAAGAATTTTCTTTAAGGAGCCATATTCATAAGGACAAAATCCCATCAGTTTTTTTATTATTATTATTATTATTATTTCAGCATTATAATGACTGCTGGTTGACTCTAACACCAGCAGGTGGATAAAGTACTGTGAACAACTCTTTGTGGACTAACAGTCCAAACATCTATACACAAATTTAATTAGTGTCTTCACAGCAGCATCTCATTTACTTGCTTCTTGTGCCCATGTGTGACATCCCATCTAATGTGGGCTTGTGACATGTATTTTGATCCTCAGGTATGTGGGTAATCTTCAGAGGATATTTGACTATTCGCCCCTTGACCCCACCCAGGACTTCGCCACACAAATGTAAGTCTGCAGTGTTACATCATGTGGGGCTATAATGCACATACAAGTGAAGGTGTTTTCCAACTGCTAATGTCTCTGTGGGTGAAAAAGGTTATTAGTAACCAACTTTAAATTTGTGTCTTTGTCATTGAAATGTTTAAAATAACTATATAATGACGTTACAATTTATAGGACCAAGTCTCGTCTTTGTAGTCGAGAATGGTTGTGCTTGCAATTATTTTGTTATCTCGAGGTATCTGTGAATCATAGCTAAGCAAATAATGACATTTTGTTGGGTAAAAGCCTGTTTTCACACATGTTCTTGTAAATACTTGGTGTATTGTGTCATGTAAGTGCGTTACAAGAGGCCAGTCAGATGCTGTGGCCATGATGAAAGGTAAGTAGAGTCGTAGCCAAGGCAGGTGATTCATTTGAATGCTTTATATGCTGAGGCACTTTTTCATATTTAGGTCATTCCGAAAAAAAAAAAATCTGATTAGGCGTATTTAATGCATCGGGTGTACTGATTAAACTCGACCCTTCTCTTAAAAGCACTGAAGGCAATGTGTAGATAAACCTCTCAGATTCTTGGTAGAATGACCCAGCCAATTTATTACATTTTAACCTGGCACTCAATAAGGATCATAACAATGTACCAAAGAAGAAAAATCTTTCCAGATAATTACGAAAATGAGACAAAAAAAATCAAGATTCAGACTTGGAAAACTACAAGTAGACTGAAAAGAGTTCTGGGCTTTTGTGACCTAATATTTGGTGGTATAATTGTGCAAATTATGGAAGAGCTGTTTGGCAGTGGAAATTGAGCCCAGTTTGATAATAAGGATGATCACCTTTGTTTGGCCAAGCATGTCACACACACACACACACACAAGGAATTTGTTTCCGGTACAGAACAGAGGCAGCCATCTGCGGTGCCAACTCAACCGATGGCTCTAACCATTGGGGCAACGGGGGGTTCAATGTCTTGCCCAAGGACACTTTGACAAGTGGACTGCGGGCACCATGATTCGAACCTCCAACTGGTAGACGACCGCTCTACCCACTGAACCACAGTCACCCCACAACTTGGGCCAGATGTATAAGATTGAAAATTAAGGGGTTAACAAGTCATCTGCTTTCCCAAACAGGTCCCGGGTGAAGTCTAGAAGTTTTTAAATGTTTGTTCTGACGGGTAAATACACACATGTGCCGCCCTCAGGGTGTACCATTGAAAAAATAACCCCAACAAGGTCAGAGCAAAACTATATGTTGTGTTAAATGTTTAAACCTTTTTGTTTTTGTTCTGACAGGGCTAAACTGGGACATGGACTGCTCTCAGGCCAGTACTCCAAACCACCCATGAAATCTGAGCTCATTGAACAGGTGATGAAAGAAGAATACAAGGTATTAAACTGGGTATGTCCAGTTCCTGAGATGGGTCCATAACTGACAGAAGTATGTTAATACCGACCTGTTGCAAAATGAGTCCTTTTAGGTTGTGAAGACCGAGTTTCAGCATGTGGGCTTGCCAGCTTCCCAATTTAAACAGCAGTTTAACACAGTTCGTCTGTGCTATTAATATACTTGAGCTTTTCTGAGAAGCTGACAACCAAAAGGAAGGCTTTTTTAAAGATATGTTGTCAATATGATATGATGTTTTTTCCTTTAGTCTGAAAATAGCTGCTGGCTGTGGACTCAAATGTGGTCTAATACTATATTTTGCTTTTAATTTCCCACTGCTTCATTTTGTGCTTGATTATTGTGTTGTGCTTCCTGTAATGTAAGAGTTCAGTTGATTTCTTTTGTTAGTTCTTTGTGTCTTGCTTTATTAATTTGAATGCACATTATATGAAATCATTCTTTTCATCTATGCATTGTATTGTAGTGCACAGTTGCCAGGAAATGGGGAAAAAAGAAAGCCATTAAAGCATAAATTGTACCCAGTCTAGTTCTGTGAGCTTCAGCTTCTTTAAGCTTCATCAGCTGCAGTAACTGATAGGGCAGAGCTGGGATCCTGCATTTCCTCCACAAGCGATTGTGGGGACAGGTTGGGACACATATTGAAAGCTGGGAAGATGTGGAGAAAGGCTTGTGTTGGCATGCTGCTTTGAGTTTGTACTTAGGAGATATTGCCCATATTATAATGACATTTTATCAGTATGTGTTCCCTGCCAAGGCTCTGCCGTTCAGTGAACGAGACAGTCCTGAACGGGGCTAGCCTGCGCATTGATGTTTCTTTGATTCACTGCAAATTCTCCTGAGCAGATCCTGGTACTAGCAGGTCACCCAAAGCCGCTATCAGTGTGTATGCTTAATAGTCCCAGATGGTCTGCTGTCTTGTCTTGTGCTTCCCTCTGAGATAGGTGAGTAGTCATGCGCAGTCTGTGTTTGTGACATCCAAATGTTTTCATTGCAGCACCAGCAGAAGGGTGTCTCTCCCCGGATGCTGAAGGCCCTGGTCAGCAGAGGACATCCAGAGTTTTCTTCAAACAGACAACAAGATGCCCACGAGCTCCTCCTGCACATCCTCAACCTGGTGGAGGTGAGTGAAGCTGAAATGCTGTAGATCAAACTGTCAAATAGGTGGCCATAAATAAACCACAGATTTTTATCTGGAGGAATCATGTTGGTGTGCATGCAGATTTCATCTGGACTTCCATTACTGTCCTTATTTTAGTGACCTCCTGACTTTTTATGTCACACCACCACCAGGTCAAAATGACCCACAATTTTGCCAGTGACAAAGTTTCTAAAAACTTATAATTCATTCTACAATATGATAAGATGTAGTTTACTCTGACTTGTGTAGTCATCTTCTTACATGGAGTTAACTGGGAGATGGCGCACCAGTTAAACACAACAGAAAAAGCTGCCTTTCATAAAACCGGCTGCCGTCAAGCGCATTTATTTTGTCCACTGTTAACATGTTCACAAAATTACCATGTTAAGCCTGATCTTTGACACGCATGCAGGCAGTTGATTAGAAGGGGAGGGTCTGTTTTTGACTAAACACAGCACACACACTCCTTGGTTGCTATATGCACATGGGGTGCTTTGTCATGTCTTTCTCCACCAGGATATATATAGCTCAGTGCTATCTGTTACACAGGGAGACCAGATAAAACTTCCTATTCTGCCTCGACCACAGGAGACATGACTTCGACCTGACACTTCCCCCATCAACAAAACATGTAGATTCTCTCAGCCCTGATTTTATTATTGCGTTTAAAGTGTTTATTCTTGACCGAGGTTTGATCATAAACTCCCTTGTTGTCCTTCCCTCCTCTAATACACTTCACAGCTCTGCAGCTGTCTATGAATTAGATATTGAGTTATCCAGCCACAGACTGAAATTAAGTCAAGCTTCCACCATCAGCAACATTTTCCTCCTCCTGTGTCAGTCTGTGTACTTAGCCTGAGTAAAATGATAACTTGTTTCTTCTTGGAATAAAAGTGTTGGGTTGCAGAGAGGTGTGTTAAGCCAGAATGCCATCCTTCATCACAGTCTTCAAATAAACACAGTATAAACGTCAGTGACCACATACAACTGGTGAGAGGACATGGAGCCGTTTGGTGATAGTGATTAATGTGTCCATGATTCTGAAACAGTGCACTCGAGCATTGTCGGTTATGTGAGGCGGTTCCTAAATTAAAGAGTGGCATCTACATTGTGAATGAGTGTGTTAAGAAGCCTGGGTCAAACAGCAGCTCTGTTAAAGTTGATGCCAGGAGACTTTAATAAACCACAGCAAATAATACAGTAGCTTACAGAGTTGCAGTTTGAACTTCAGACGGTCTTGTTTGTAGTATATTTGTAGCATCTGTCCATCTTTTTACCATGCATGTACTGTTTTGAATAAGTTTGTTAGGGTTAATGATTCATTAACAGAAAAATCAGTTCTTATCCCTTTGAATTGGAATTGGCAAAAACAATGACAAATATTCATTATGTGCTTCAAAGTGCATGGAATAGCACTTAGACCACTGGAACTGTCATGTCATCCATCTTTTATACAGTCAGTGATTGGGACTAGAACTCCCCAGTCTAATGAAACTTATAAGAGATTATCAGTGCATTAATGCTGGGTGTCATTAAGGGGAATCTGAGACACGACTGCCATAAAAGTTCCATTAGACTCATTTAAATCAAAATTGGGGCCAATCTCATTGCCTGATTTTGTCATATTTAAATTGTGTTGTTTCTGCAGAGGAATAGCACAGGCTCAGAGAATCCGAGTGACGTCTTCCGGTTCCTGGTGGAAGAGCGAGTTCAGTGCTGCCAGAGTCGTCGGGTGCGTTACACTCAGCGGGTGGACTACTGCATCCAGCTGCCAGTGCCCAAGGCCGCCACCAATCGAGGTAAAGGAACTGCTGTGCACGCACATACACTCACGCTGCTCCTGCTGTAGTAGGAGGCCACAGCTGGGTCTAGTTGGTACAGCTGGCATAACATTGGGCTCATGTGGCACCAGCTATCAGAAGAGGTCCTGTTCTGAAAGGGCAGAGAAGGTCTGAGTGTTGCATGTTTGTGTCTAACAGTGACTAATGGTGTTGCAGTATTATTGCATAGCCTTGGTTTGAGGTAGTACTTAATATGACAAATCTTGCTAACATTGTCAGCAGAAATCTTGAATGCTGCTTATGAAATTGAACATACATTTCTTTGGCATCAGAATGTAACTTTCAGCATGCTTGAATTTGAAAATGCTGACTGTAGTAGTGGACTGTGGATGTTATCACTTATTTTGCATGGAAATAAGGTTTTGTCTTTGTTTTGATGCTATCAGAGGAGTTGCTGGCATATGAGGTCAAGCGGAAGGAAGCGGAGGAGAACATGCGGGCTCCTCCTGAACCAGTGAAAGCACGGATCCCCTTCACCGCCTGCCTGCAAGCCTTCACAGAACCGGAGAACGTCCCAGACTTCTGGAGCTCAGCACTGCAAGCCAAGTCAGCCGGAATCAAGTATGCACGATCCACGTCTTCTCTGGCTTGAAATAACTACTCTACTCATCAGTGAATTTTCCTCACTTCATAATCTTTAAATTAAAACCAGCTATATTTCTAAACCTTGTATTTCTTTATTATAAATTCCTTTTTCTTTTATATTATTGTCATTTTCCTCTGCAGAACTTCCCGTTTTGCCTCCTTCCCAGAGTATCTGATAGTACAGATAAAGAAATTCACATTCGGGGTTGACTGGGTGCCAAAGAAACTAGGTAATTGTATGTCGCACTGGTTAATGTGATATAAAAATCTTGTATTGTACCTCACCAATTTGGTAACTGTCATTTCAAATAATTGTAATGCTGTAAATGCCCAGCAGAGGGCACCATTGAATTGTGATATACAAGCCACATGGTAAAGTACATGAAATTTTTGTCCCTTGACTTCATCTGTACATTAATGAACACAGTCATGAGCTATCCTGTTTCTCATCCTGAAGTTTCAAATCAAATCAAGCTTTATTTACAGTATATACATAGCTGCTTTCATACACCCTGTTGCTAATGTAAATATGTAATTGGGCACAAATGAAATTAATATAATTTGGTATATCGCTGCGTCTGAAATTGCAGATATTCCGAGTGGCTTTGCTTTTGTACTGTGCCATTTTTACTACTCAGATATGACCAAATAATAGGCAAATTGGTACTAATTTAGGGGCAATGGTGGCCTAAAGGTTTAAGGAGCAAGCCTGTGATCGGAAGGTTTCAGGGTCACTCCTTGGACTGGTGGGATCAAAAGTGTTTGGTTCAGGTGACAATGTTGTCCCACGCTCATTAACACCACTGTGGTGCCCTTGCACAACACACTTAACTCCCCGTGTGTGGTTGTACTAGCAGCTTCTAGGTGTGAATGTGATCAGGCAATTCCTGCAAAAAGACAGATGTCCTCTCAGAGAACCTACCCTGTCTGAATAAAGGTTTAAAAAGTTAATAAATCATCATCTTTAGTATGGTATTAGGGGGGTTTATGTGACCCACAGCCACAGTTGTGTGTTGTGGGTGGACTGTCACTTACACCCTCAGCTAGCAAAAATGTGCTGCATTAGGAAGTGTGTTTAACTCGTATCACTGTCCTTGTGTGTTTATGGTGCCAGAATGTGATCATTGTTAATGTCTTCTCCCTGAGTGTTAGTGGGAAGGATGTTTAAAATTAAGAGCATGGCATGATATAGGCTTCGAAAAAGATAAATAACATGTCAACATATTCCTCCACTGAGTTTTGTTCCATGTTTGTTCCTGTGTAGACCTGGCCATAGATGTTCCGGATTTCCTGGACCTGAACCGACTGCGGGCCACAGGGCTGCAGGCGGGTGAAGAGGAGCTGCCTGATCTTATGCCTCCCATTGTGCTGCCTGAAGACACCAGAGGTATTTACAAACGATTGCATCAATGTGTGTGTGTGTGTGTGTGTGTGTGTGTGTGTGTGTGTATATATATACATAATATACACACACACACACACACATACAGATGTCTAGTGCACTGCTCAACAAGGCATAACGTGATTACAGTTAGGATTATGTGAAGGTCCCTTTTTGCCCCTTTAATCTGTCAGTTTGTTTTTATTCATTTGCATGGTATATTGGCAAATAAACATTGGTGCATTTATTTGGTCATTTTCAATTTCACAGTGGTATTAATTTTAGATGGCACTGCTTTTCCTGAGCGCCTTTTGCTTTTTAAATTGCCCAGACAGCCAAATATATTTTCACTTTGTTTAAGCGTCTCAAATTATGAGATTGTTTACTGAATATCTAGTTTTATCAAATAAACTGGTAAGTCAGTGATGGCTTGAGGAGTAACCAGATGTGTGTTGCTAAAACCCTTTCACGCTGTGTAGGGCATTTATTGACAGAGTCAAATGATTTGTGAAGTTGTCTCTAATACGATATTCTGCTCAAAGCCACCCAAGTTTCCTCTTAAGGGTGTACTGAATGGAATCCTGTGGGACAGGCATGCTCAATTAATTACTGAGAAGTTGTGTTCGCAGTGTGGCTAAGCCTAATAAGTTGTTATAATTTTGAGATCCCCTTGTAATGCACCTCCCCTTGGTGCTTTCAGCCTGTTTACCTAATGATCTTTCCAGTATTAGATACATTGTACTTAAAACTTGTTTGCTGCCTCTGCTCCTAAAGGCCAAAACTGCAGATTCCCTCTTTTTGTTTGTCTTTCTTTGCATCTGTCTCCTCTGTGACTGTAATTCCTGTTCTTCTGTGTCTCCTTCCACTGTTTGCAAGTTATCAGTGTCCTCCTTAATATTTTAGTAGGCGTGAAGCACAAAGTGTTCTGTACTGTCCTGAGCGCCAAACACAAAAAGGGGTCCAAGGAGCAGTGCAAAGACAGAGTAATATCCTCGAGTAGCCTTTTTTGTGCCTCATGGGTTTTTTCTGAGAGCTTCAAAGAAACATTTAGCTGGCTGCTTCTTAGGACAGAAAACTAAGGATGTTTGAATGCGTTTCCTGATTAAACCTTTCAATATTTCACCACTGAACAGTGTTTGCTATCTCAGACCTCCAAACAAACTGAGCTGGTTTTTCTCTGAATAGTGAAGTATCCACTTAAAATTCTTTAGAGTTTTGCACTTTGAAGTGTCCTTTGTTTGAGCTGAAGCTGTCTTGCTTATGCAGCATTTCATATCTCCCTCTGACAGCAGCAAGCTGTTTAGAGGGCCACTGGAAAAGCAGTACATGAAAATTTGTGCAAATGTTTTTTTTATATGTAGTAAGTTTGAGTTGGAAGTGTACTTTAAATCTGTTTTGCACTTGTCCTCTGTCGACTTCCCTTAGCACTTCTGTTGTCATAGACAGAAAAGTGAAAATCATATGGTTCAAACTGTGAAACGAAAAGAGGTCAGAGGAAATAATTCCTGGTTTCAGTAAATTTGCTGATTCATTCATTTTACATTTTTATGATGAGTTTTGTCAGCTGCAAATTAACCGCTGGTCCGTTATCCCCCAGCAAGCGAGCGCAGTCATTAATCACTGGTCACCTTTCTGTCTCCAAAAAGCTTCAGTGCTTCTCATTGATTACACAGCACTGTGTAGATGTGTTTTTCCCTACGCTGCTTGAGCCTCATTATGTGTGTGTCATCCATTCACTCAGTTCTTCCAGGCATTTAGAAAAGAGAAGACAAAAATAGATTGTTTTCATTATTTTATTGCACAAAACGAGCTTTAAGAAACTTGACAAACCACAAAGAAAATAATTTCTCTGCTAATCAAACCGTCCTCTTCAAGATTAAAATGGACAAACTTAGTTGTGCTCAGTTTTAATTAGCCACTTTTTGTGGCTGTGTGATGTTTATTTTATTATTTTGTTCCAAATCCTTTCTAAAAATACCTTCAGATAAAACTGTTCAAGTATTGTTATCTTAAAGACAAGAAAGTTCACTGTTGTCACATCCCCAGTCCATCTTTTATTATGCATGAACATGACAATAGACCAAAAATTGGCTTCCTCAGGTCTTTGTAGTCACACAGTCGTCATGTCCACATCAGGGAAAAAACCGATGACTGACACTGACAAAATTTCATTGTTCAAAAATAACTCAGTTGGAAAGGCTTTGCTAAAGTTGAACATGTTTCATAGGAGCAGGACCTACTGATGTTGTGATTGCAGTGCTTGGGAACAGCGGGAGTCGATCTCTTTCCTCACTGCAGGTGGTGAAAAGGCCTTGCCAAAAGGGTATTCTGACAGCCTGATTTACTTTCCCTGTAAAGGGAAATCTGTTGAATGATTGACTGGGAAGCCCAGTAGAGTAGCTGAATGGTCAAGGTGTTTAACACCAGTATCGTTGGTTGGATTTTGAGGGGGAATATATATGTGTGTGTGTGTGTGTATGTATGCGTGTATATATATATATATATATATTTATTTTTGTTTGT